CAGCGGCTCGACTCTGAGGCTCTCCCGGGTTACCGAGCTCCTCGCCCGATCACGGCGAGTGGTGAGTCCGGCAACCCTGCGGAGAAACCTCTTTCGGCCCTTCGTACCCGCGATCTCATCCTTCCGCTCATTACCCAAAGCTCGTGACCATAGGTGAAGGTGTCCAATGGTAAAGGCCGCAATTTCTTAACTCGCCTTGCCGCTGGCTGACGAGCCCCTACCCGCGACACGCGCAGAGAGCGCCCTCCTCTCACCCCGTGCAGCTGGGAGTGCCCACACGCTACCCCACCGCACGCGACCTGCCGGTTCGCTCGCTTGTGAATTGCCGTAACTTTCCCAGCCCTTCAAGCAAAATGTTTGCGTCGTTCTACGGTGGCAGATTGGTGGAGTGGAACAATTGGCCCATCGGAGCGCGACGCCCCATTTGGTCAGCTGAGACCTTTGTGACTGTAAACCCCCCCCCCCCCCGCTCTCTGTATGAACGTTGAACTTCCTTCGCGCCGTACGTAGCCGGAATGGGCTGGAGTAGGGGCGCAGTGGATGGTGTACTGTACGGTACTATCAACCGGAGTTTGATTCCCAGCCATGGCTTACGTCATAGGTGAGGTTCCTATGTTCCTCGCCAGGTATTCAGGAGGTCGTGGGTTCGATCCCAACCCTGACGCCTGCTGCTGCTGTGTATTTGGAGTTTGCGTGTTTCGTACTCCACGTAGTCGTGTGGATTTCTCTCTGGGTCCTCCGTTTTTTTTTCCTTCCACATTTAGAATCAGAATCACGCGTTTAGAGTATGTGGCTGCTCTACATTTCCACGTGATGATGATCAGCCACTTCGTTGAGCTGTCATTTGTGGGCAGGGGGCTTCTGAAAAAGAGCTACATTGCTCAGTGGTGGGCCTGACCTGGTAAAATAAAATAAAAAATAGTTTTAATAGTTTATATCTCAGCCGGTCCTAATCCACAAACAACTCCCATGACTGATACGTCATGGGGAGGCCTTAATCCAGCAGTGAAATGACAAAGCGCTGTAAACTCTGATTATTATGTTTAGTTTTACTACTCTGTGTAGCATAAGCTTGGGCGTTACAAAACTACAACATCTGTAAGTTAAGCCCCGGATCTTAAAAATAGCATTGTTGACGTGAGAACAAATGCCACTTTAGAATTCCACCGCAGCACGCCGCCAGCCTGGTGTTGGATCCAAGAGTGGTGACAGCCAAAGCTGATTAGTGTTAGTCTGTTGAATAAGATCACGTAATCACGTTCTGGTTAATTAGGTCAGGAAATCAAAGTAACAAGCCATGTGGCATTCATTGGCTACCTTTGCCTCCCACAAAGTGGGCCTATCATTTCACGTCGTAATAATAATTAGAGATGAAAACCACTTATCTGCAGGTCAACAAGGAATAGCTGTGTATTTATTTAACTCTTATTCCGCGTAAATAATAATGGTGTTTGTCCACAAAAGCCTCTCGAAGAATTGAATGTTTGGCTGGGCGCTCGGCAAACTCTGGGTTCCTGGAGAAAATCCGTGCATGTGAGGGGACCCCACTCGGAAGAGGTCCCCACAGATGGATGCTGACATTTTGCGATCCTCCCCCGTCCTGTCTTCCGGAATCCTGACAACCCCTTGCAGCCCAGTGGGTTCAGCCGCGGTGACGAGATGTTAACCGTCTCGCCTGGTATGCAGGAGGTCTTGCGTTCGAAACCTGACCCTGACGCCTGTTGTATATTTGGAGTCTGCGTGTCTCTATCCCTGTGGCCGGGTGAATTTTTCTCTGGATCTTCCGGTTTTTCCCCTCCATGTTTAGAATCAACATCACTCGTTTAAAGTATTTGGCTGCTAAAAATGTTCACGGTTCGTGGTACGGCGATACCCCGCTTTACATTGCTCAGTGGGCCTTACCTGGTAAAATAAAAAGTTTGATTTAGTTCAGTGTTAACGATGGCATTGTTAATATTAGTGCAAATTATATTTCAGGAGTGTTAAATCGCCGCTTAACGCAAATTGAATAAAAACAAACCCTCGTACCCAATCCATAATGTGGAGATTTATATGTCAATTTTTATTTTTCCTTGCATTGTTTTTTTATTTTGTAATATCCCTTCCAACATCCCGAGGTATTTTTTTTATATTAATTTAGCACATTAAACGTGGCGAGCCAAAAATTGGATTTATAGAATGACTTACCTCAAACAATGCAAATGAAATTTCCAGTGTCAACCACAGAGGACTGGAATTTACCACCGCTGCGGTTGCCTATCTTGAAATCGCTTCAGGCAGCTCTCTTTACCATCGCAGCCTTTGCCAATTACAGCCTCTAGACTTTTATCGCGGCTTTACCAAAGAAAATGAGAAGCACGCAAAAAAATTAAACGAATTGTGGCGATGTCTGCCGAACGTATGCGTTTCTATTTCGCGCGATGCATTTCACGTTATCTGCTCCCTCAGAGCGCGAAGGCGGGAGAGATTCATCGCTGCCCGTGGCAGCAGGGGGGGGGGCAAGGGGCAAGGGTTTGAACGTGAAGGGTTAAAGGAGGTCGCGTGCCACGAGAATGAAAATCCTGAGCAGGTGGCGTATGCGGGGACGTTTGAATCATTAAAATTTAAGCACCCATGCTTCGGCCGTGGTAAATGATTTAGCCGGAGTGTGTGTATTTTTTTGCATTTTTCAGGAGAATTCTGCACGATATTTGACTTGTGAGCACCGCTGGGATTTCCCGCAGCCTTCGGTTAAAATCACAGCGTCGCCAATGCACTGTGACGGTGGGAAATACTAATAAACTGAACTATAAACTATTTGTATTTTAGCAGGTAAGGCCGCACTGACCTCTTTTGCAGAAGCGACCTAGCAATCACCAACGATAGCTCAACGAAGCGGCTTATTATAACGTGGAAATTTGTAGCAGAAAATATTTTAAATGCACGTTGATTCTAAATGTGGAGGGAAAGGACCGGAGGACCTGGAGAAAAAAATCCACGCGGCCACGGGGAGAGAGACACGCAAACTCCAAATATATAACAGGCATCAGGGTCGTAATCGAACCCACGACCTCATGTATACCAGGCGAGGGAGTTAACATCTCCTAGCCACCGTGGCGCTCCCTGCACACGCGAGTAACCCAGCCCAGATCTTAGCGGTGGCACAACGACCGCGGGAGAGGGAAAATGCTCGACCAGCACGCCCCTGGATGATGCGGCACGTTTCTGATTTATTTCTGGGGATACGGCGATGCGTCTTGAACACAGTTGTGGCCGGGCTTGATAATAGTAACAGACCCACGATTGATCACGTGATTCACTGAACCTGCCGAGTCACAACTAACGCAATTTATAAGCAGGGCTGGCATCCGATTGAATTTGCGGAAGTTTTTTTTCGAATGAATTGATAGCGCGTGGTACGTCTTGTTACGTTTCACGTGTGGCAATGATAATAATTCTTTTCGCTCCGCGTAGCAGCACTGTACAGTGCAAGCTAGCCGCCTCGCTTCAGCCCCCAGTGTGAATTTCGCAATTCGTTTTTTTCTTTCTCTTTCCGGCGGTGTTCGTGCAGCGGCACGAGGTTTAGGTCTCACCGCGAATATTTAATAAATGCCATCAGATAAATTCTCTCTGCGGTACACCGATCCTTACAATGGATTTCCCGTTATTTGACGATGTGTGAGTGTAATGGACACTGCAGCATTTTCAAAGAATCCAGCTGGGTTTTTTTTTCTTCCAATCTATCGTGGCGATGGTAATGCAGCTCTCTCAAGCTGTGCCCTTTTCCGTGGTTCCTGCTTTTAATGTAGATCGATAGCGGGTGACAATCAGCATTGTGACTTTCACGCATGATAAATCTTTGACATTACAAAATAGTTACGGATGGCTGGGAAAAAATGTCAAAACTCAGCTGTGTCTTAATGTTCTACATGTGTTCGTATCGTGAAGTAAAGGTTGGGGAAATCTGCTCCAGATCACGTGTCAATGTTACTCTTCCTGATCTGTCCACGCAGCTTATTTTATCATGACAAGACACGTGGCGCAGCTTGACACATGTTCTAAACAAAGCGTAGCTATACGACAGCTCAATATGGTTTTGTGCGAATGAGTCGGGACAGGATCTTGAGTAGTGGATATGTATGTACATTTCGATTTAAAGCTTTCGTGACTGCAGGGATTCATATTCTTGGTTCTTTCGGTAAAGTCACGTAGAAGGGAAATAATAAAATAATAATAAAACAATATAAAAATTCTCACGACGTTTCGGCCACAACGCAAGCAGCCGAAACGTCGTAAGAATTTTTATGTTTTATTTTTATTATTTTATTATTTTATTATTTCCCTTCTACGTGACTTTACCGAAAGAACCAAGAATATGTATGTACATGTACCTATGTTGAACTTCTTTCGCACCGTACGTAGCCCACCGTGCTAATCGGGGGGTGCGGGGGAAGGACAACAAACTAAAGACGAAAAGTATTTCGAAAGAAATTAGTTTTCAGTTTATATTTCAAAGTTCATAGCTCCAGTGGCTTCCAAATATCGGAAGGCAAAGCGTTCCAGACAGCCGCAGAAGCGCATCCAAAGCAGCAGCAGCAGCGTGCGACGTGGTGAACTTCTTTGTTCGACGGTGAGCCAAAGGCCGCTGCTGCTGCTGTGAAGATGACCGCAGATTGCGCAATGATGGTTTATGCATTTTTTTAACAAATCCTCGAGGATGGACGCAGCGGTAGAGGATCTTGTAGACTGAATGAAGCGGTGAAGCTGGCGAAAGGACGAGACGGAGAACCACTGCGGACCTTTGTTCGGCTCCCATCGTCGCTAACAAGCCGATGGCCAGGGGCAGGCGGCGGCGCACAGTTTGGCGTTGCGCTTGCTCCAACGCGAGCCGAAATCTCTCCACTGCTGCACGGAGACGCTCCACAACCGCCGCGAGCAGGCAAGGCCTCGTGCTGCGCTGCGTGCACGCCTGGCGCCAACTTCGCTCCGTTGCCCCCCCCCCTCCTCCCCCTCCGCCGCAGACGCCTTCACCATCGGGCTGGCGCGCCAGTGCCAGACGATCCGCGGGCGCGAGCGAGCGTGCACGCCGCCCCGGCTGCCCGCCGAGTGGCTGCTGGCGCTGCTGATGATGGTGTGCGGCGTGGCACTGCTCACGGCTGCCTGCGCCCTGCTGCTGCTGTCGCGCTGGCGCCGCGACCTCGCGGTGCACGCCCGCTGGATCGCCTTCGCCGCCAGTGAGTCGGCTGCGCCGCCAGCGGTCGCGGTTCTCTCCCCCTCCCCCACCCCAGGGGTCGGCAACATCATCAATAATATCGGTTTTCTGGGTTAGATCACGATCTAACCCAGAAAACCGATATTATGGAAGAGAGTCCAGTTTACCGTGGGAGTCCAGTTTACTGTGGAAGTCCAGTTTGCCTTACCATGGAAGTCGTCATCAGCAGGGTCAGCCTTGTGAAACAGATGTTGCCGAGTTTGTAGGTGCTTCTGGCAAGAGCACCCCATGAGTGCTATGGGGCCCAGTCCAACGCAAATCGCAACATTGCACACAAACTTACAGCGGTGCCGTAAGGAGCGTTTCGGGCAAAGCGAGTGTAGAAGTGGAGCTCAGTTCCCCGTCTTGTTATTGGGGTGGGGGGTTATCAGCGAATAACCGCGATGGAAAGGCCGATCCAAATGTATTTTTAACGGTATGTTTTGCAAGCGGGGGTTGTTGCTTGTGGAATGATGCACAAGCCAAAAAAAAAAACCAGTGAAAGGGGATCGCTCCCTGGAGCCTGGCTCCGGATTGCCTCCCCGCTGACACGAGAGAGATCGCTCCCGCCTCTGCGGCTGCCTACGCCACGGAGAGGTTCGGGAGAGGAGTCGGCTGCTGGTTAGAGAGCTGTGTGTCTGTCTCTCGACCGCGGTTGCGGTGATGGCTGGAGGGGGACGATCACCCAGCCAATTGAAATCCCTTAATCAGAGTGCAACCTCAATCAGTGTAGGTCGGTCATCGTCCTTTATTTTAACAGATAAGAGGGGCCATTGAGATTCGTCATCTCTATTCGTGCGCTGCTCCTCCCCGGGTCTGTTTTAATTTATTTACAATTGTTGTGTTACCAGGTAAGGCCCCAGTCAGCTGTCTAGTTATTTATCAGAAGCGACCTGCCCATCGCGAATGATGGCTTAACGAAGCGGCTGATCTCGCGGGAATTTACAGCAGCCAAATATTCTAAAACGCACGTCGATTCTAAATCTGGAGGGCAAAAAACACCTGAGTACCCGGATTAAAATCCACGCGACCACGGGGAGAGAGAGAGAGAGAGAGAAAGGACACGCAAACTACAAATATACAGCAGGCGTCGTCAGCGTCGAGATCGAACCCACAACCTCCTGCGTACCAGGCGAGGTAGTTACCATCTCCTAGCCACCGCCGCCCCGTTCTTGTGGGACGACGGGGAGCACTTGAGCACCCGGATTGGCCGCTGCGCTTGCTCCCGTGCGTCGCTTTTACTCTCTGGAGGCTTACGCACGCTCCTTGAGCGCCACGGAAGGCAACTCCTCGTGCGTCGCGTCTTCCAGCACACGGGGTCACGTGGTTGGGACGGCTCGGCCCCTCTGCTGCCGGAGGCGTAAGATGATCGGTCCCTTTAGGGGAAAGCATTTTGCCGGGCTGCTTGTGTGTCACCGGTTGAGCGCGCCTCCGAGGAGAGAGAGAGAGGGAGCTGAGTGGGACGCAAACAATTTTACGGTTCGGGAAAAAAACTCAATTTCATTTCCTGCGATGGGAATAGCAATATGGCTCAACCCGCCTTTGAAAAAAAATATCTCAACATGGTTTTTTTTATTTGAATTACGCTGCCCCACCTCAAGAGGAAAGTTAGTATAATATAAGAGGTAACGTCTTTTGGGCAAAAGCCCTTCGGCTGCCTCAAGGACCATTGAGTGTTTTAGTCATGAATCTAGAATTGAAGCTTTAGTGACTGCAGAGATTACTAATCTCATTGGTTTTTTCGGTAAAGTCACGTATGTAGAATTTTTTTAACTATATATTTAAAATGTTTTACTCATGCTTGTGCACCAATTGCTTACACGACATCGCACAAATTTCACATCCATTTCGCATGGGTCTTAGTGCTGACCCACAACGCTGTCGTCGCGTGGATTTTTCTCCAGGTCCTCGGGTTTTTTTTCTCCCCTCCACGTTTAGATTCAACGTCGCGTGTTTCAGAGTGTATTTGGCTGCCATGAATTCCCACGCGGATGATGACGATGAGCCACTTCGTTGGGCTATCGTTTGTGACGGCCAGGTCGCTTCTGAAAGAGAGCTGTTTCGCAAGCTCTCAGTGGGCCTTGCCTGATAAAAATAGAAATATAAGTTGAGTTTTAGTTTAGCTTTCCTTGGGGGTTGAGCAGCTCTTGCGTAGTCCCTCCGCGAGAGCTTTGCTGGCTTCGGTTCAATTTACCGGCGCGCTATTGGCAATAAATCTTTCTTTAAACGGCCGCGATCAAAATGAGTGCTTCGGCGTGCAAACCAAGAGTCCCGTCCGATCGCAATCATCACTCCCTCACCTACACCAAGAAATAACAAACTCTTTCATAGCGGTACTCACCAGTCAGTTTTAGAGCATTCTAAGTGGATTGTGAGGGGCCGGTTAGAGTCCAGCACACAGCAGTACAGTTCTGTACGTACAGACTGCCGCTAGCGCCACCACTCAGCAGTATTCTGAAGCCCCCGTAAACAACAACACCGACAACAACAACAACAACGGAGGGAATATTCGTATTGCCGTCAATGACAGATGCCGGTGGTTGTAACGGAGCATTCCGGATGGTAAAGTGTTAGGATAAACGGAGCCTTCGCTCTACTTGCGCCGTACACTGAGCACGATAATAAAATAATCTCCCGGAGGAGAGAGGCTGGGAGGGGTCAAGCGTGCGACGCTCTCGGTGGCTAGGAGATGTTAACTGCCTCGCCTGGTGTACAGGAGGTCGTGGGCTCGATCCCGACGTGGTCGTGTAGATTTTTCTCCAGGGCCCTCCAGTTTTTCCCCTCCACTTTTAGAATCGATATCAAAGTGCGTTTTGAGTATTTGCCTACTATAAATTTGCACGTGATGGTGATAAGCCACTTCGTTGGGTTTATCATTTGTGATCGCCAGCTCTCTAGCTCAGGAGTGGGGCCTTGCCCGGTAAATAAAAAAAAAGAGTTGCTAGTTTTCTTTTCAGTTTCAGTTTCCTCCGCAGTGGTCCTCTTCTGCATCGCGGCCCTCATCTTCCCCGTGGGCTTCTACGTGGAGGAGGTCGGAGGGCAGCCCTACAAGCTTCCCAACAACGCCCAGGTGGGCTCTTCCTACGTGCTCTTCATCGTCTCCATCTTCTTCACCATCGTGGGCCTGCTGTTCGCCGGGAAGGTGTGCCTGCCGGGGTGACGCGCGGGGCTGCTCCGGCCTACGCCTGCAACCACCCCGCACCCTTCCCTCCCCTCCTGCCGCTGCCGCCCGCCGGGACGTGCGAGGCCACAGGTAGTCCGCGGGCAGCAGGCTACGCGTCGAACGGCCGAGCGAGGGGGCGTACACGGGTTTCTAAAAAAAAAAACATCGATTTTTAAATTTTTTTAATGGAACTGCCAACGCAATATTCGCGTTTGGGTCGTATGTATGTTGTATGTTGAACTTCTTATGCACCATACGTAGCCAACCCTGCAAATGGAAGGTGCTGGGGAAGGGCAACAAACTAAACACAACAAGAAGCAGTTCTAAAGAAATGAGTCTTCAATCCGGAAATACTCTAAACACGTGATGTTGATTCTAAATGCGGAGGGGAAAACCGGAGGACCCGGATAAAAATCCACACGACCACGGGGAGAGAGAGAGAGAAACATGCAAACTCCAAATATACAGCAACAGGCATCGTCGGGTTGGGATCGAACCCACGACCTCCTGCATGTGAAGCGAGGGAGATAACATCTCGCCTCAGCTCACACTCGGGTCACCCGTGGAGTGTGTGCCACTAAAATAAGATAAAGCATAAAATAAACTCGGGCCACTCTCACTCCACCCAGGGGACTGACGCTCTCCCCGCATCCCCGTCGATCACGGGGGATCTTTGTCCGTACTTCGCCACGCTGGTCCGTGCGTGTTGGCAAAGCGGCGTTCTCAGGACACCCGTTGCCGCTCAAGTTAGCCGTGGCCGCCAGGAGTCGATCTCGGGTCGCCTGTGCATGGGACAGCACGCCGTTGGCTGTGCCACCACTGCGGGGCCCTCTACCACTTACGTGCTTTGCTTTGCCGCAGGGTGGTAATCCGTGAGGGTTTAAACTCCTTCTCGTGACAGTGAGGCAAGCCTGGTTCCAATCTGTTCCACAATACATCAGAGATGCAGTCGGGTTCGTATCTTGTTGCTCAACAGGGGACATTGAAGCAGTACTGTACTATGCTCCCAACGTCCTACGCTCCCCCACGTTGACCGGCACGGTGAAGTACGGCCAGACGACCCCGTCTGTGTGTGGAGGCTCTCATCCAGCAGTAGATTGACACAAGTGGGGCTGTGCCCGTATCGGTTGGTGTGCAGGCGTGCGTCCAAGCCCCGGTACGGCCGGTGAGTTATTGCGACGGGTAAAAGTGGCCACGCACGGAAGAGTAGACGTGACGTTTCAAGCGTCCCGCGGGGAGCTCTTCGTGGTGGCAACCCTCCAAAGTCTGGCAAACGTTCGCCCGTCGCCACGTGAACATTGTTTCGCTCTTCTCCCTCACCCTGCTCCCTTCCCTCCCCAGCTCCGCCCTTTCCGCACGGGGCGAGGAGAGCGGAGAGCGGCTGCGGGCGGCGGTTTTACGCGGAACTCTGCGGGCAAAGAAAAAAAAAGGACCGAACTCCCGCCAAAGCGAGCGTCGCGATCTCCCCCTCCCCCCTCGGAGTGGCTACCGTTCCCTGCAGCCTCCGGCGAGACTCAAGACTAAAAGACTCGCGCTCGGAGCCAGTTCCAAAGCAGTAGTGGGGAGAGGGGGGGGGGGATGGGTAAAAGGACAGGCACTCCGTGTCGCTCCAAAGGAAACCCCCGCCCAGAATCTTATTTTTTATTTATGTAGCGCCTTGTCCAAGGTGCTGAAGAAGGAATTAGAAATGTGTACAGTCGAATGCGTGTGTTGTTATGTGTGTTGAACGTCTTTCGCACTGTACGTAGGCCACCGCGCTAAATGGAGGTGTGCGGGAATAGTGTGACGAGATGAGTTGACGCGTTGAAGGATGGTGAGTAGCGTGACGAATGTGACAGTGACACAAACGATGATGAACGCGACAGTGAGTGGTTGATGATGATGAGTGAGTGTGATCGATGGGTCGGGACGTTGGGAAGAGGGATGGAGTTAGTGATGGGGAAGGCTGGTGGTGGTGAGGATTTAAGAAATGTGGCACCGTTGTTGTAACTGCCACGACCCAGGAGATGAAAGTGAACCGGAGACCTCTGGGTTGCAAGTCCAGCACGCTGCTGACCGTCGCTGCTGACCGTCGCACCGCTGTGGCCACGTTGACACCACTGCAGGCTCAGTGCTTTAACCTAAATCCTCACCACCACCACCACCACCGCAGCGTCTGTCCACCCAGCAGCGTTCAATGGGTTCCGCCGCAGTCGATCGGCAGGCCCACGTCCGGCCGGTGTGGAAGAGTAGGCCAAAAACACCCTCCTACAGGAGGGGGAGGGGGGTGGGGCGCTCCTTCTGGCAGAGACTCTTCCCGCACTGCGAGCCCAGGAGGAGGTTGGCTGCTCTGGTGCACCGGGTTTTTCTCGGACTTCATTTCAAGAGAGGAATATTTTACGTCAAGGCTCTCCCCCCACAGAATTCCTCCCCGCGGATGATCCTGCAGCGCCCAGCGGAGTGGCGGCGGCGGCGGCATGCCCCTCGTTTGGCTGTCGTGCGGCTCAGTGAGCCGTGCGGCTCCGTGAGCCGTGCGGCTCCGTGAGCCGTGCGGCTCAGTGAGCCGTGCGGCTCCGTGAGCCGTGCGGCTCCGTGAGCCGTGCGGCTCAGTGAGCCGTGCGGCTCCGTGAGCCGTGCGGCTCCGTGAGCCGTGCGGCTCAGTGAGCCGTGCGGCTCCGTGAGCCGTGCGGCTCAGTGAGCCGTGCGGCTCCGTGAGCCGTGCGGCTCCGTGAGCCGTGCGGCTCAGTGAGCCGTGCGGCTCCGTGAGCCGTGCGTCGGGATGCCTCTCGCGTCGGTCGCCTGCCACGGCAGCGGTGGAGCCGGTACCCCGAGTTACTTCTTTGCCAAATCTGCCTTTTAGCCGATGCGTTCAGCGTTCGCCGGTGTCACCTGCGCTGTGGGTGTGTCTCTGTGTGTGCGTGTCTCTGTCTGTGCGTGTCACTGTCTGTGCGTGTCGCTGTCTGTGCGTGTCTCTGTCTGTGCGTGTCTCTGTCTGCGCGTGGTGTCTCTGTGTGTGTGGTGTCTCTGTCTTGCTCTGAATTAGTCGAGCGGCAATATCTTCTTACCGGTTGCGTAATGCTGTATGGAAGCTACCTGGTCTGTCGCTCCGCACGAAGCTTCAGGTCTTTTCAGCCACAGTCATTCTCTCTACACTTGCGAAACGTGGATCCCCCTAATGGAACATCTTCGCCAGTTAGAAACATTTAGGCTGGCCTGCCTATGATCCATCCTGGGTTTAACCAGACTGGATTGTGTGAGGAGCTCATAAATCCTTGAAAGATCAGGGCAAAGTCCCATCGGTGAGCTCCTCCGGCAGGCAAGGCTGCGTTGGCTGGGTCATGTAGCCCGCATGCCCAGCCACTGCATGCCTAAACAGCTTTTGTTCGGCCGGATCGAGGGGGCTAAACTGGCGCGGCACGGGCTAGAGAAGCAATAGAGTGATGTGGTACAGGAGGATGTGGAGCTGAGTGGAATTGCCGATGACTGGTACCAGCGGTGTCAAGATCGGCCTCTGTGGAGAAGGCTCGTGAAGGACGCTGCTACTGGGCAGTTGGAGGCAGTCGCCCTCAACGGAGGGGCGAGGAACGACGCTCACAACAACGAGCGGAGTGCCTGGTGGCTAAAGCACAGCAAGTTGGCACAGTAGGGGGCACAGGTGGAGCATCGGCCAGTCATCTCAGTCGACCCGTGGCACCTGGGTCTGCCTCGTGACTTCCTGCCAGCAGGCGTTCGACACTTCACGTGGCCTCAACGTGCACCTAGCCTGGCACAAGCGTCGTGGTGACGTCGCTGCTACTTAGTGGCGAATGGCGGTTGTTGTTGTTGCTGTCTCTGTCTGTGCGTGTGGTGTCTCTGTGCGTGTCTCCGTCTCTCGATCTCCGTGGTTGCGGCAGTGGGAACATTTAACGACGATCGCTCCATTTGGAGCTGCGAACCACAGAAGTCAGGCAGACGAAGTCATAATCTGTATTCATCCTGGAGAAATCCGATGAGCTATGAAGCTCTTTCTCACAGATCTCCAGTAGGGGGCGGGTGTTCCCAGATCCACGCTCTCGCACCTCCGATCAGCACGGCTGACTACGTACGGCGCGAAAGAAGTTCAACGTATAATCCGCCGCAGAATGCCGCACAGTGTTACACGTCGCACTTTCAAACGGATTTAAACGTCGCACGATCGTGCTATGAGATAGATTTTTATTTTCGACGGAGGATCCTTTGCAAACGTGAAAAGTTATCGGACACACGCCGCTCTTTTGAAATTCATTTTTTTAATTGGCGTTTTAGTTTAGCGTCGGTCACGGCAAGACTTTCGTCCCGTCTCCCCGGAGGTTTGCTTTTGCTGTGAATTATCTCCAAAACCCCGCGTTAGTACTTTGCGGGGAAGTCGGAAATGTGTCCTCGCGTTATTGTACAGGAGAGGCATTGAGGATGGGTGAACGGGTGTCAGGAGTGGGACGCACGGTCATTGCTGCAGGAGACGCGTTCCTGAAAGAAGCGAAAAATTTCCCCATAAATAACGTCACGATAAAGTCTGGCGAGATACGGTGTGCTACTACTACGCCTACGACGATGCACACACGCACAGTGAGATGACATGTAACCCAGCGTACGCCGCCGCGTTACTGTATCACTGTACCGCTCGGATGCGCAACTCAAGAAAGTATTTCGTCGTCGGCTGCACGTTCCGCGTTATATCGATGCGCGTTATGCATTATATCGGTGTGCGTTCCGCGTTATAGCAGTGCGCGTTATAACTGTGCACGCTCTCCGCCGTTGAACGGCGCGCACTCGGTGAGGGCTTTGCCCGTGCAGGGTGTACTATCTCCCATCGCTGGACGGCAAAAAAGCCGGATGAAGTCCCACCGTGAGCGGTGCGATGTGCGCCCCACGAGGCTGGAACCGAGAACGTGAAGTGCTCGCTGCCCCTCCGAGCGACGTCGCCGTGGCCGCTACCGCTTGGTTGTCCGACGTTTCGCTCCACGAGCCTCTTCGGCGCTTCTTCAGAATTGGATCACTCGGGAACTGGAAGTCGGTTCCAAAGGAACTCGTCGTAGATAGCCGTACAGCTGTGCCCAGCCATTGTCCCATCCCGTTGCTTTTGTTCAGTCTTCTGTACATAAACAATATACATATATAAATACGTATAGGTATGTATATATATTTAACAAAAATGTTTATATTTATGGAATGAATTCTACAGGGTATAACGCCTCTGCTGTTTCTTAGATAATTTAACCTTTCAATGTTTAACGTGGGCTTCAATACGTTAGTAGGGGGGGGGGGGCTGCTGGTGAAATGTCAAAGCATGCGGTTTGTTTTTTATTCTTCTTCCGCCCGACGTCACTGCACTGATTTATTTACTCGTCGGTCCACGTTTTGAGCTTTTTCATCCACAAACATCAATTGGCACCTTACTCCGATTGTAAATGTGGTGGCTTGGCTCTCCAACACACTCCGGTGTGCTGCACTAGCAACGAATTGCCACGTTCTTGTTTACGTGACGAACCTTACTCATTGGCTGTGTCGGGTGGTGGCGGGTTTAACGACACATTTATATTTCTGCGATTTAACCCGAAAAAAAACCCGTGTTATGGATGCACACCTTATGGGGACCTCATTTGCCAGTAAAAATATGATAATTGGTTCTTTACCCTTCTATCTGGCAACAAAACTGACACCTTTTTGCAAGGAGTCATGTTTGCATAGACCGCAATACCTGCAGTCATAATACAAACAAAAGAACATAACTCTGATAGTCCACATTATCAGAGTTATGTTCTTTTGTTTGTATTATGACTGCAGGTATTGCGGTCTATGCAAACATGACTCCTTGCAAAAAGGTGTCAGTTTTGTTGCCAGATAGAAGGGTAAAGAACCGATGCACACCTTGTTACGATTACCACAAATTGGCTAAATTCGTGCCTGAAAAATGTCCAACCCACACGGTCGTGGTGGTGGTGGTGGGGCAGAATTCACACGCACATCACATCTCGAGGCAGGCACATTGTGTCGTGACACAGGGTGTCACCTGCCACTACACTCGTGTTTGCACTGGCACGGGATATATTTGGATCGCCCTCGCAGTTAAACGCCTTGCAAAAAAAACGCATTGCACGGCTTTAATTTATTTTCAGTTACCTTCGAACTGATTTCTGCGTGAGTTTGTTGTCGTTCACCACCACCACCACCCCCTCCCCCTCCAGCCCCGCACCTCCGATTTGCACGGTTGGCTACGTACGGTGTAAAAGAAGCTCAACCTACGTACAATTAATCTCGAAATGCTTCGTGTGCTAAAAAACACGTGATGTGTGATCGGCGAAGAGGGGGAGGCTCGGTGTGCCAGAGTCATTCCCACAACCCCTCAGGTTGTTGAACGCATTTTGAAAATCTTCGCATTTATTTAACCTTTTGACCTCCGCTGTGGCCGGCTGTCGTGATTCTCCGCCCGGCAGCGGGGCGCTCCGTGCTGCGATGGGCGCAGCCCGCTGAGCCCCGCGGCCGCTGCAACACAACTCGCGGCCACGGTGGCGAGGAGATGTTAACTGCATCGCCTGGTATGCAGGAGGTCGTGGGTTCGATCCCGACTGATGATGTCGCTGCTGTATATTTGGGGTTTTCGTGTCCCTCTCTCGCTCCCCCCTTCCACATTTAGAATCGACGTCACGCGGTCAAGAGTAATCGGCCGCCGCTTTGAATTTGCACGCAGTGATGATGATGATGATGCTCCACTTCCATTGAGCCATCGTTTGTGATAGCCAGCTCGCTTCTGAATAAAGAGCCGTTATATAGCGCAATGGGGGCCTTGCCTGGTAACGGTGAATCGGGGCGACTGCCCCGGGCCCCGCGGTTGGGGGGGGGGCTCTCCCCGCACTTCGACGTCACGGCGTCAGACGTAATGCTTCCGGTTTAGATTGCCCACGTCCCCTCCCCCCATGGACGGCGCTGCTCGTGTGTGTATGGTCATTTGTAAATAAAGCGGCCACAGTTTGATGAGTGAATAAACGCAATGTTGTTGTGCTTCATCGGCATGCCGGCGGTCTCGGGTTTTTTCCACCCACGAGACACACAGACTTCGCTCAACTTCAAGCACTGATGGGCGTCCCAGACGACAGAGCACACGCAAAGCTCCATATGTACAACGGCAATCGTCAAGAATCGGGATCTGGATCGAAACCCACGACCTCCTGTGTACCAGGCGAGGTCGTGAACATCGCCCAGCTACCGCGGCGCGATGCCACTTGAGTCACGACGGGAGCCAATACACAGACGGTCGTGTTTGTTTTATTCACTGAGTGGCAGCTTCTTGCGTTTGTAATCTAATAATTGAAGCCGTAATTTCATTGACCTCATTTGCTTTCAAACAATGTGTTGCTTACACCCCCGCTGCGAGCACACTAAATTATAGTCACAAATACACGCGCGCGTGAGATGCAATCATTTGGCAACGTGATTAACTTAATGTTCTGTGCACACCATGCCATTGCCATGAGTAATGGAAGTAGCCAATTAACTTCATTTACATAAGAGGTTTTTTTTTCGGGTGAGATCAGCGTAAATATAAATGCGTCGTTCAACCCGCCACCGTCAGCCGACGAAGCCGATGAGTAAGGTTTGACACGTGGACAAAACGTGTCAATTCGTTGCTCGTTCAGCACACGGGTTGTGTGCTGGAGAGTAAACCCACACCACACGTTGACCGCCGACTTCGCGATCTGACCCAAAAGCCTCCACTGTGGATGATGTTGGTCGCGAAAGCTCACGGCCACGACTCCTACCTGCACGTGTTCAACATGCGCTTGCTTCTAATTGCGGAGCTAATCTCACGCCCCCAATGCATCTCGTTAAGTCGCTCATCAGTTCCGACGCAAGCGTGAAGGTTGCGTAACATTATTATTATTACGTAAAGGCCACTTGTTTATCATTTGTGACGCAACGTGGGATAAAAAAAAAAGTTGGATCTTTCACATTAAACCGAGTTCAGAAATCAAAAAGGGCGATTTGTGACTGAGTGTTTGTGCGTCTTTTCACGTACAGCTGGTTTGGCCATTAAAGGTCATGAGGGGGAGAGGGGGGGCACGACTCTGGGCTTGGTTACTGCTGGACATCTGTGGAAAAAAAATAAGCCTTATCGCTCATGGGATTCCTCCAGCACAAATACATATTGTGATTCTGACAGTGTTCGCTGTCGCTGCATCTCGGCACGAGATGTTCACTACCTCGCCTGGTCTCCAGGAGGTCGTAGGTTCGATCCCGACCCTGACGCCTGCTGCTGTATATTTGGAGTTTGCGTGTCTCTCTCTCCGCCGTGGTCGCGTGGATTTATCTCCGAGTCCTCCGGTTTTTCCCTCCACATTTAGAAACAACAACACGCTGTTATAAATGTCCACGTGATGATAAGCCCACTTAGTTGAGCTATTAATTGTGATAGCCAGGTTGCTTCTGAAAATAGAGCTACAGTATATAGCTCAGGGGACCTTACATGGGAAAAAATAATAGTTTAGTTTAAAATGTGGCAGCCACTGTTGCAGACGAGCATTTGCGTGTGGGAGCAGCAGCATTTAAAGATCTCTGTTTTGTCCTCCCTGCTTCCTCCTCCCCCATCTTCCTCGGGCATTGCGGGCTCGCTTAAGCCGTGGCGCGCACGTGGTGTGCAGCTCTGAAGCTTCGTGGGGTTTGTTTCGTTCTCGTCAGTAAAGCACACGGCCGCACGTGAGAATCGTTTAAGCTGACGCAGTTGTGCGCGTGGTCTCTCGGTGCCAGGTTCGTGGTCCGGCGACACCGCGTTTGACGTCGGGAGGGGGATGCGTTCCTGAAAGGTGCGACGACGGATATCGAAACGAGTTCAATCGAAGCGATGTCACAGGGTGGTAGTAGTGGGTGGTGGTGGAGGAGGCGACGGATAACGAGAAAGGACGAACGGTGCTGTTAGCGACGTGTGTGTGGGGGTTGAGGCGACGCTAATCATCGGGTAGCGGCGTTCGTGATAAAGTGACGACGTTTTTGCGAAACGACGTAGAAAGGAGAGACGCACAACGGGGTGTTGCTGTACGTTGAAGCGCGCAGCCACAACAACAACAACGAAGGGAGGGTGACAAGGTAAGGTGATGACGGCATTTTGTGTATCCCCTAAGAATATCTGTGCCAGTCTTCGTCTTCCCACGGCGCTTAGCACACACGGTGCGACTGCAGAGTCCAGTGCAGCGAGCGTGCAAAGTTCATCAGTATTGGCCTGCCTCTGTCTGCCCAGCAGAATCAAGAGGCACAGGCCCCCAGGCAGTGGGGTCAACAAGGCCGAGTGGCGGTGGGGCAACGCGTGGACACTGCCGCGTCTCCACGCCTAAAACACCCTCCACGTGGAGACGGCGAGGGGTCTCTCTCATTGGAAGGCCCCGCGGGCCACTGACGGCCCTGGCGGCCTTCAGTGCGGGCCCTGACGATCCACAGAGTGAGAACACCCCGCCACCCGTCACCATCATCATCATCGTGCTGCTGTAAAACCCCCATCATGGTGTCAAATGTGTGGCGGCCCCCCCTCACACTGATGATGTGCCCCCCGCCGCCTCTGAAAATCCATGAAGAACACTGCGCTAAGCAGAGGAGGACCTTCCGCCGGCGGTGGCAGGAGCGGGCACTTGCAGGGCTGCGCCTCCGCCTCTTGTTAGCCGCGAATGCGGCAAAAGCCCCCAGAGTGGAGAAGATTCCTGCAGAGTTCCCAGAGAGAAATGGAAAAAAAGCCCATCTTCTCATTATTCTCATTCTGATTCTTCTCTTAGCGAATTAAATCCCCTTCCCCCTCTGCGCTCGCCTAATGCTGATGATCAATCAGAGGAGTTCATTGGCCGCCTTCCAGGGGGAAGTTAAAATTGCCACCAGGGCCCGTCCGAGTCGTACTTTTAGACGCGGCTACCACAACCCGCTTGGCTCGCGGACAACGTCTCGTCTCTTTGATTTCTGATTTCGTCTCTGGGGCGTCGGTGGCACGCGCGCGATATTTGACGCGAGATGAATGCGTCATTCCAGAGGGTGGAAAACAATTTTAACTTCTCGCATTTATTTCCTCCCCTTTCTGTGTGTCGTATATTTTATAACGTTTCTTTCCACTCATATAAATCACCGTTTTGCGGGTTGAGCAGTTTACATTTGCAACTGAGAGTGGCTGAGGATGTAGACGATGTGTTTTTCGCCAGCGTTCTGTGAATGACATCTGCTGAATTCACTGCTCTCTGTGATTCCACAAAGCAGTTCGCTGTCCCCTGAGCGACTGATACACGGGGATCGATCAATATCGATGGCGGCAGTGATGTAACATTTCCACAGTGGTATAAATATAACGTGTTGAGGTTATCTCGAAGCGTGCCCGTGTCCTTTACTCAAGAGATGTTGCTGACTGTGGCCTTCTGTACATTTGAAAAGTCACACTTCTTGAAGCTGCTCTCCGATGAGCACCGGTGGTCTACGTACGGTGCGAAAGAAGTTCTAAATACTGTACATCCATTTAGCTCTGTGCGAAATATTACTCAAGAACTTTGTATTACATCCTGCAGTCGCATCCAATAGATCACATTGCTTATGTAACATAATTCGCTGTCATCGCCGCCTGCTCGTACCTCGTAATTTTACCCGTCAAAACGCATTGACATTCAATCTCATTGTTCACATCATCGTCGCCGTCCAAGTTGC